AATTGAGGGCAAGAAAAAAAAGAACATTGGGTAAGTACTTTATTTCTTGTTTTTCATATTTATTCTTTATTTATTATTATAAAAATAACTAAAATCTAAAAATACAGATTTTTTTAAAGTTATTTTAGACTAGATTAGGTAAAATAGATAATAATAATATAATTAAAATGGTTCTCGAGGCACGCGAGCATCTCATGGATAATGTAATTCGATAGCATAACATGGGCTGCATGTTTCCTGAGTGATTACGACTTATAATGATGTGAATAGTAGTTAGACACAGTTCAAAGGGCAATAAAATTTAATTATAAATAGATGTATACTGTTACAAACGAATGTAGTTTCATGTTACAATTTCAAATCATTCTAGAAAGAAAAAAAGGGTAATATAGGTTTATTTCGATTTTTTTTTATGGTGGTTATGAGGTCGGTCGAATTGACCGATCTCGTTTTTTAGATAGGGTAGAGAAAATAACAAAGTTTAAAGCTTTACTGAAAACAAAACAAAATGCATTCAGGAGGTTTTAGGGATTACACAAAGGAAATATAAGATTTTTGAGATGAGGAAAAGTATTTTTAATTTTAACATAAAAATTACTTTGCACATGTACTATTTAAAACAAATACTCAATATATTCATGGACAAAACTTTATATTAATTTATTAAAAATACTTCACTAAAAATGATTTTTTGTATGTGAAAGGCTTTTAATGTTAACTGAAAGAGTGCCAAATTTTGTGAAGATATACATTGAGAGTTACAAGTATAAATCTATAAAGACTTTAAACCAGTACAAAGAGGTCATGTGTCGGTCAAATTGACTGAGCCCATGTTGAGAAAGTTAATTGAGAATGTAAGTTTAATATTTGCTATTAATTTTAGGTGTGAAACAGTTATTTCGTCTTTTGTGTGTGTGTCTGTCTATATATATGTTATACCATTTACAACATATCTCTGAGAAGTGTTTCAAAATGTACGTAAATCTAAACATGACATTTATCAAGTTGTGGAAATTTTGATTCACATTGAGTAAGGAAAAGGTGGTTATACAATGTTAATAGTTTAAAATGTAATCAGTTAAGTGAACAAGTAAAACATCTTAAACTTTTACCATCAAATAAAAACAACTTTCTACCTTGCAGAATGAAATATTTTCTGCAAGCTGTAATATTGTACAGTTGATCATCTCATGAGTAACGAACTGTAATATTGTACAGTTGATCATCTCGTAAGTAACGAACTGTAATATTGTACAGTTGATCATCTCGTAAGTAACGAACTGTAATATTGTACAGTTGATCATCTCGTGAGTAACGAACTGTAATATTGTACAGTTGATCATCTCGTGAGTAACGAACTGTAATATTGTACAGTTGATCATCTCGTGAGTAACGAACTGTAATATTGTACAGTTGATCATCTCGTGAGTAACGAACTGTAATATTGTACACTCACGAGATGATCAACTTCGTTACTCACGAGATGATCAACAGTACAATATTACAGTAACCTCACGAGATGATCAACAGTACAATATTACAGTTCGTTACTCACGAGATGATCAACTGTACAATATTACAGTTCGTTTCTCACGAGATGATCAACTGTACAATATTACAGTTCGTTTCTCACGAGATGATCAACTGTACAATATTACAGTTCGTTTCTCACGAGATGATCAACAGTACAATATTACAGTTAACAAACTGTAATATTGCACTGTTGATCATCTTGTGAGTAACAACTAACAGTATGATTTTATACTGTTAAAAAAACAATTGTGTTTGTTTAACTTTACAGTTTATCATTCTAATCAAAATCTCCTCAGGTTTGTAGTTTCTTGCTTAGATGTTCTTAAAAATTTGGCACTTTGTACTTTTACAGGATATTGAAACTTTGTTTGGTGGCGAGGGTTGTCCAAAGTTTGCCAAGTGTGAATTTGTCCACAATGATAGCTGGTATGTGACATTTGACTCTGATGAAGATGTGCAAAAGGCATACCGCTACCTTCGAGAGGAAGTTCGTAGTTTCCAAGGCAAACCAATTATGGTATGTTCTCCCTTTTCTGCAGAATCGTGTTCCATACTTTAGAGGTTTGGTTGCTTTCTATTAAAAAGTAATGGTCAAATCCCATTATTCAAAAAAAATAGCCCAAAAGGTGTCAGTTGGTGTTGAAAGATAACTGTACTTGTCTCTCCTCTCATCTAGTGTGTGTGTGGCTTTTAACAAGTATCTGGAACAAACCATTACATGTAGAGGAAATAATATGAAAATAAGCCATTCAAATGAAAGTTATCTTACCAAATAAAGTGGAGGAGGGGACAATTGTATCTTTTTTATTGGGAAATAATTACCTAAATCCTGTACATGCATTTGGAATTTTGTAGGGAATGCCATTAAATAATCTGTCATAAATGTGAAATTGATCATATTTTGACTCTTTCAACATGGGCTCGGTCCCATTGACAGACCTTATAATCATTTTGTGATTGTTATAGTTTTCATGCTATAACTTTTAAATTAGTAAGTGAATTTTAACAAAACTTGACAGATTATCAATAAACATTACAATGCTTTCATATGCAAAATATTGGATTTTTTATTAAGTCTTAAGTTTTGTTAAGCAATGTTTCTCGTGTCTTTTTTCTTTTCACATGTTGCCTATTTATCATGCAAAGTAATATTTATTTTAAGATTAAATATACTTTTATGCATCAAAAAATTTTGATATAATGTCCAGATAGTTATCAGACGTTTCTTAAGAAAAAAACTTTATTTTATCTGTTATTTTCAGTGATTAATCTCTATACAGGTTTGGTAGATTTGACTGATCTTGCAACAACCAT